TTTAAAATTGACGAGTAGCTAAAAAAACAAAAAACGAAACTAAAAAAAAGGAGAAAGACTAAATTTACTTGAACTAAAGTTGCAATCCATATCATCTTTAATCAATTCTACTAGGTAATTTCCTTAATTATGAATTTTATTATCAATTTAGGTTTTGTTTCGGAATTTGAAGATTTTTTGAAATTAAATTGAAATTGGGTTAGGGGATAGAAATTAAGACCAATTGAAAGAAAATTTTGAAGAATCGAAAAATTAGGATTTAGCCAAAATTGATTTGGGTTAGGTTTTTGAAACATTGATTTAGGGAATTTTGATTGAAGAAGGAAGAGAAGGAAGGGAAGAGAAAAGAAGGAAAGAAGAGGGAGAGCATGGACGGACTAGTTCCGGTTCATCCATAGCGAGGTTCGGGAGAAGTGAGAAAGTAAGAATGAAAAAAAAAGAGAGAGAGAGAGAGAGGATTCGACAAAGAGGAAAAAAAGAAAGGAAGAAAAAAGAGAATGGGAGAGGAAGAGAGAGAAGGATGTACCATGGCAGGTTCATCCATGGTCGAAGAGAGATTCAAGAGATAAGGAAGAAGAATAAGAAAATGAAGAAGAAAATGAAAGAGAAAGAAAACGGAGAGAAGGTTGAAGAAGGAGAGAAAGAAAAGAAATAGGGTTTTGATCCAAGATTTATTTTAAAAAGGAGTTGGGTTGGGTTTTTGGGCTAGAATTTAATTAAATGATATGGGTTGGGCTTAGCCTAACCCATTTATAATTAGAGTGGATTGATTTCGAGTCCGACTCATTGTAAAACAAAAAAATCTAGGTCTGGACTAGAACAAACAAAAAATAAAATGTGTCTTAGTTTTAATTTTTAATTTCATGCATGTTTATTATTTCATATTTAATTTAGATTTTAAATTTTCTTTAATTATTTTAATCTTGAATTTATTTTATACATGTTATTCAATATGATATTTAGATTTTAATATTTTTAAATTTTCTATAATTATTTTAATTAATTTAATTTTAACTTTGAATATATTTTATGCATGTTTGTTATTAATTTCAATTTCGGTATTTGAATTTTCTTTAATGTACTTAAGTACTATAACTTTAATTTATTTGTTTAGAAATTAGACTCGATAATTAAAAGATGAAGAATTGTTAAGTCCGTTAATTTTTTAAGGGTCGACAACGACCTTCCACCATATAAGAGAGAGAGAGAGAGAGAGAGAGAGAGAGAGAGAGGAAAAAAACTAAAAAAAAAAAAAACCATAAAATGTTTTAAAAAAATCTCACATCTAATATAGACTCTTGCTAGCCAAAACAAATCATTTTTAGCATTTACGTAGTTCTTTGACGGACCGAGTTGTCGTCGAGACTTAAAGTGGATCCGATACTTGAAATTTTATTATGACAAGAAAATAAAGATTCGATTTGACATGACCTTAAAAAAAATCTAATTTTAAGTTATAATTAAAAAAATCATAAAAAAAAATCTACTTTCAAAATATATTTAATTAAAAATGATTCAAAATAATCTTTTTTTCAAGAAGGTGATACAAATTATAATTAATAGATTTTAATATATTGAAAGTTCGAATTTAGAAAAAAAATAATGATTTAATTTTTTAACTACTTTTATTTAAGTCAAAATTGTTTTTAATAAAAAATATTTTTTTTTCAAATTAAAAAAAAATTTAAAAATAAATCAATGGATTCTTGCTGTTAATAATTTAGTTGAAAACATTTCCTCTAAGAGACAAAATCTTACTCCAAATAATTTAGCTAAAAAAAGGTCATATGGCATGGAAGTATACCAAGTCATAAATCACCTAGTTTACCAAAAAAATTGGTTTACAAGGCTCCTTTTTTAAACAATTGCTTAAGAACAATAATTTATTTATGCTAAAAAAATATTTATAGGTCATGTTGTTAGTACTTTTTTTCTCTCATTTGTGAGTTTTAAAAAAAATATGGAATTGATATTATTTTTTAAAAATTGAGTTTTTATAGATTTTTCCTCTCTTTCAAATTTTTTTTTAAAAAAAACATAAAACACGTTCTTTTATAATCATCCTAAAGTATTTTGGTTTCAAATATGATAAATTTTATCTTATTTCATTATACAATTGTTTGATTAAAAGGAAAAAAAAACCAGAAAATAACATGTTTCTTCAAATAGTATCCACACTCGCTATTTTTTTTTTCACCAATAACACCTTGTTTGAGCTAAATCACAAAACGAATTTCATACAAAAATTTTGGCTATGTAGCAAGGCATATATAATGCCCCTAAACTTTGTTATCAAATATATTTAATTGATTCTCATGAGCTGATCAATTAATAAATACAATTAAAGACAATAAAACAATTAAAATAGTTAAACTCGAATAGCTAAGCAGTATCTATTATCTAGTTCTAGACATGTTTTTTTTTTACCATGTTTTTTTAATTTCATTAAAATTTACTAAATACTCATATACTTACAATTCAGACATTTTTTTACTTTTAATTCTCAAAAAATAAAAAATAAAAATAAAACTTGTTTCATCATAATAAGTAATTTGATGATTGGTCTAGACACACATCTATGTATAAATATAAAAATAGCTATAGATTGTTTAAGAATTCAACAAGTAAATCAAAGGTATAGATTATATACTTCCTACTTGCTGTACAAACCATGCATTTTCTATTTACATCCGTAACCAATATATATATATATATAGAAAAAGAAAACTAGTTGTTTTACAAAGAAAACAAAATTTTATATATTAATTTATAGATTGTCTCTATGAAAAATGAACCTATAATTTTGCATAACATATTAAAAAAAAATTGCATTAATAATTTTATATAACCAAAGACATAATTTCATACATGACAAACAATTAAATAGGTTGCTCATGAATGAGAGCCGCTACAAGTACGGATAAATATTCACAAATAGAATCGGACAAACTTATTTTATTTAAAAAAAATTTTATGCATAACAAGAAAAATTACTCTACCAAGTAATGCTTTATAAATCTACCAATATCGATACACAACATAGTTAATCTTTTGTTTTTTAACATGTCAAAAGATGTGCCACTTCTTTTATCAAACTAAACAAAAAATATTATTAATTGAAAATTCATTATCGCAAGACATTTAAAATCCAACTTCATACACTACATTATAATATTAGAGCATACCTATAAAAATTCATTACAAATAGGAGCTCTTCCACACATGGCACACCCAAAAAAACTATTGAATGATGATCAACAAAATGAATAACCACAAAATTTTACTCTTCACATAGATTAGAAGCTCTTTAACTTTGTACGTATTGGAATATACCTACACTTGATATTATGTTGTCCATAAATTATTTTTAGCTTGGTATTCTCTCGTTTTATATTTTTATTTTATGTATGTATTTACATCATATCTAACTCAACATTTGCAAATTTTTGTACATGTTTATTTTATTTTTTCAGCATTATTCTTTAAGTAATATAGTACTTTTTATTATTACTTTTATTGGCTGATTTTTTTTTTTTTCACTTCTACAAATATCACATAAAAAGGTATTTTACTAAGTTCTTAGCCAAACTTGCTTCTTTGTATCTATTTTATTTTTATTTTTTCATTTGCATGATTCTCTCAATCCTCAAACAAAACAACCTACCAAACAGTTAAATTTCATCCATCTCATGCGTTAATAATAATTATTGTTTTTATTTTCATACATCATGGGCAAGCCAAATTTGAAAGATGAAAACAAAACGACTATTTATAATTTGTTCTACACACCCATTGCTAATACATAAGTTTGACAATAAACGTTTAGTTTTTCATTTAACCTTATATCTAGATGTACCACATGACTACTTACTATTTCAAAACCAATAAATAAATAAACATTGCTTTCGATGAATAAACATTTGCTTTCAATTATTGATTCAATTCTTTTTTAAAAAAATATGTTTAGTGAACATGTTCTCAAACATTCCGCGAAGTCGTTTAGTTGCACAAAAACATATGCTTGTATTTTTTCGGATGAATGAAACAACGAGCTATAATTGGTTAAACGTTTTTTTTTAATACTTTACATGTATTTTACGCTTTGTTGCTCAAACCTTATTGATGTTATACTCCTTTTCTTACCATTAAAAAACATACCATCTATCGTCGCTCAAATTTTGTTCCGTTTTTTTATTCGAACAACCATTTATCATTGAAACAACGAAAGAAAAAAAATTCAAACATTTGAAATCCTTTAAACTTCCTTATCTTCTTACAAACACAAAGAAGAATAGTTTGTCATTCAATATTTATTTTACTGCGATGCAGCACAAGCATTAATCTAGTTTTAAATCCAAAAGAATAAAATTAAAATTTTCTGTAGAATAGTTGCTGGAAAATGATTTGAGTTAACGTTTTTATTTTACTGCGATGTAGCACAAGCATTAATCTAGTTTTAAATCTAAAAGAATAAAATTAAAATTTTCTGTAGAATAGTTGCTGGAAAATGATTTGAGTTAACGTGTAAAATATACCTTTTAATTCAAGTGCAAGAAAAGTGATGTTCATATATATATATATAAGACTAGAGAAGCTTAAAGACGTATATTTCTTTATTGATCATGAAAGCGGTAAAAAAGTAAAAAATTAAAAAACAAAATCCCAGGAAAATACAGAGGTCTCTCCACCAACTAATGCTATCCCAATAATCCTAGTCCCTTCGTTCTTACCACCTAAGATTCTCCTCACCCAAATCCAAAACCAAAACTCGAGCCATGGATTTGCTCTCATTCTCTTCCTCCACAGCAACCCCACACTTTTCCTCTCTAAAACCCACTCTCTCTCACTACCACCAAAAACCCACTTCGGCCTCCCCCTTCAATTTCAAACCCATAACGCCATCTTCTCCAAAACTTTTACCTCTCAAAACCACCCTTAAATCCTCCAAAACCCTAAACCCAATTCCCCAACTGGCTTCACCTCAAACACCGGCCACCGCCATGAAAGGGGCGGAGACGGACGCTATGGGTCTATTGTTGAGGGAGAGGATTGTGTTTCTAGGGAACAGTATAGATGATTTTGTGGCTGATGCTATTATTAGTCAGTTGTTGCTTCTTGATGCTCAGGATCATACTAAAGACATCCGTCTATTCATTAATTGTCCTGGTGGTTCTCTTAGGTAATCCTAAACAGCCCATTTCTCATTTTCTTATTTTTAGGTTAAAGTTTGAATCTTTTTTACTTCTATATTTTTGAAGAAAAGATAGATGCTTTGATTATTAATGGTTTCTATTTGAAAAATGAAACAACCCGTGTGCTATTTTATTTATTAAAGTAGTGTGTAGTTGGTTTAAGAGATTGAATTGAGGTTGGATTAGGGAAAGTTTTTAGGTTTTAATCTTAGTCAACTGGGATAAAAATGGTCTAGAAATTCTATGGAATGATATTTGTTTTAATCTAGTTTATATAATTAAACAGTCATTATTTATGCTTTGAGATTTCACATTTGCAAGAGAACTGATTATAGATTTATGGTTATATTTGGTTCTAGTCCTGTTTGCTTTATTGACTGCCCATTTCATGATGTCATGTGTCCTCGCCAACAATTATCGTATCGACTTCATTTTGTTGGGACGAGATAAACAAACAACAAATAAGAGGAAACAAAAGCATAAAAACCTTTTTGAAGTTTATGTTTGTAGATCTACTTGGGTGATCTACGGTAAAGAAAATCTTATTTGTTTGTTGAACCTTTGCTGATTTGCTTTTAATATTACAATGCACAGTGCTACAATGGCTATCTATGACGTGGTGCAGCTCGTGAGGGCTGATGTTTCCACAGTTGCTCTTGGCATTGCAGCATCAACAGCTTCTATAATTCTAGGTGGTGGAGCGAAAGGCAAGCGTTTTGCAATGCCCAACACACGGATAATGATTCATCAACCTCTTGGAGGTGCTAGTGGGCAAGCAATAGACGTGGAAATTCAAGCGCGAGAAATTATGCACAACAAGAACAATGTGATTAGAATTGTTTCGGGTTTCACTGGTCGCACAATTGAGCAAGTGCAAAAAGATATTGATAGAGATCGATACATGTCTCCAATTGAGGCAGTTGAATATGGAATAATTGATGGAGTTATTGATGGAGATAGCATCATTCCTTTGGCTCCAGTGCCTGAAAGAGTGACACCAACCCTGAATTATGAGGACATGCGTAAAGATCCAATGAAATTCTTGAATCCAGATGTCCCTGATGATGAGATATACTAGCTCAGAGCATTCTTAACGGGTATCTTACTCTCAGTGTGTTCCTTGGAATGTTCACTTCCATGAAGATTTAAGAATCAAATGTTATAGCTTGGGGATCATTTGCGTTTTTCCAAACTGGGATTTTTTGAGAACTGATGTAGGAAATTGTTACTTGTATGTCTTCTTAAAATGTTTTCTCGTTTTAGATAAAACAAATGCCTTTTTAATTATAAATGGCTGGTTTGATGCTTCCAGGGATAGGTTCAGAAAATTTTCCGGAAATAAATTAGATTTTCAGAATACCCTACCAAAGAATTGTAGAGGAAGCAGCTCAGTGAAAGCCAGAAATGGATCGACAGAATCAAATTTTGCAAAATTGAAACTTGGTTGTCCCCTTCCGGAAAGTGTTTTGTAACCTTCATTATATATTTTCCAGACATTTTGCAGGCTAAACCATAACTTTACTTGAGAAAGAATGTGGAATCATTGTTATGAAAACAACATATGGCTTGTTTTAGCGCAGCAATATTGAGTTTGTTTGCGTCCCTAACGTATGATTGAGAATTAAAGGCACCATAATGTCTTACAGAATTTGTAGGTAGTCTAATAAAACCAGCTATAGTAACACAAATGGTGAGAACTGAATTGCTGTGATGCTCTAAACCCATGGATTTGATTATTTTCTGTTTAGGGCATTCAGGATATTGTCATGAAAAGGATGGATGCTTGTTTTACGGAGGTGTCAACCCAACTAGTTTGTTATTCTGCTTGTAAAGTTCAATGCCAGGTCGTTCAGGATATGGTCATGAAGAGGAAGAGTTAGCAGATTTTTCTGGGTGTTTATATTTCTTCGTGCGGGATGATAAGCTTGATGTAAGAGGGAAAACTTGCGCTGTGACTGAAATATGAGATGGTCTATGATCCTTACCTTTGTTTCTTAGAAAAAGAATGCTTAAAGCTCGAGTTACTTATCTGCCCAATTGTTTATTGGCCGTAGTCATTGGAATTGTTTAAGGCCTCTCATTCGTTGAAATACTTGTGTATAATAATGTTAAACTTCATAAAATTTGCAATGATCTCTGAAACTCGTTGCTATGATGTAGTGAGTGCACACGATGATCAAGGAAACTTCTGAATATTAAATCCGATTTTACATTCTTTAAATTCTCTTAACCAGGCATGCATCAAGTCTCGGAGTTGATGGATTGTCCCCTGCCTTTGAATGGTCACCCGCAGGATCTGAAGCAGTTTTACTCACTTTGCTGACCAGACTGGACCATAGCAAATTCAGTAGATTGATTCTACAACCTATAAGCTGTTTCCATATTTTGTTTGTTTACTATTAAAGTCAATTGTTTGATTATCTTCTTCATTTTCTATCTCACTCACGAAATATCCAGTGCAACTAAATTTGGTCACTAATTTCAGATGATTTATGCAGGAAAAGGGTGAGCGACGCAAATTTTGTACTTAAAAAGTTATAAGCTTATCATAATCTAATCTTACAATGATCGGGAAAAGAAAAAAAATTCCACAATGGTCTTAGGAGAGCTATTCTTCTGCCACCTTGACCACTGACCAATCTGCTAGCTAATTTGGTGAGCTGGACGAAACGTTCTATTTTGGTGAAGTTAGTGAATGCTGAGTCTTCTCTGCATTTCTGTGCCAGATATTCCACCATAGAGAAAAGAGCAGAGTGACCGCAAGAAGACTCAAAATATGTAATTTTATATTTTTATCCTTAAAAAGTTAAAAAGCACTTTTAGTTCGGTCCTTCTGACACTCCAAAGCCTTCTTCGGGCTCGGGAAAGAATTATTCTGTTCTTTCCCTGTTTCCTTCCTCTATAGATTCCATACATTTCTTTCCTTGCCTACTCTCTTTCCTTCAACCAATGCTTAATGGCTTGAGCAACATTAACTTGCGAATTTAAGAACATTTTTATACCTATAAAAACCAGAACAAAGAGCAATAATCAGCAAAACATGGAGGTCTGCGCAAGAACACCCATGAAAGTAATGACGAAAGTTGCAATTCCTCCTACAGATGATCAAGGAGAGATTACAAGGTCAATGAGGGACCTTCCACCGGCTCACTACACGTTTAAGATCGAAAATTTCTCCCTACTTTCAAATACAAAGTTAGACAACGTCGAATCAGGTGACTTTGAAGTTGACAGCTACAAATGGTAGGTTGGCTCAACTTTAGTTCCACACATAGTTTGCCTTAAATGGTTTCTTCTTCTTCTTCTTCTTCTTCTTCTGTGTTTAATATGTTGCCTTTCATTCCGTGATTAACTTTTTTGAAGTGCAGGAAATTGTGTCTCCACCCTAAAGGAAACAAGAAAAGCAATGGGGATGGACACATATCTCTATATCTAGCATTTTCCAAATCGAATGCTATCCCTCTTGGCTGGGAGGTCAACGTGAACTTCAAATTGTTTGTTTATAACCAAATCCATGACAAGTACTTGACCATCCAAGGTAAGGGAGCACATCACTTGCTAACACATCAACTGGTCATGTGAGACAGGTCTTGTTATTATTTAGCACACACTAATTAAGGATTTGAAACGTTTGCTGACCAGATGCTGATGGGAGGGTGAGACGGTTTCATGGAATGAAAACAGAATTGGGTTTTGATCAATTAATTCCACTGACTGTTTTCAATGACGAGTCAAAGGGATATCTAATTGATGACTGTTGCATATTTGGAGCTGAGATTTTCGTTATTAAACATACCGGCAAAGGGGGATGCTTGTCCCTGAAGGAGGTGCCTGTCAGAAAAAACACTTTCTCCTACAGCTTTCAGAACTTTTCAGCACTAGACCAACAATTTTACAAGTCCCAAGTTTTTACTATTGGAGGGCACAAATGGTACGTAAAATAAAATGAAATGTTATATATATGTATGCATATGTATATATGCATTAATTAAGCGGGATTAATTACTGCATTAATATGTGTTTTCAATTACATTTATTTATGTAGGGCTTTGTTGGTTCACCCCAAAGGGAATTTAACAGAGAAATGCAAAAGCTTGTCGATCTACTTAGCATTGGAGGATTGTGAAAGTATTCCATGTGGACGAACAATTTATGCAGAATTCATGCTGCGTGTGAAGGACCGACTTTTTGGAAACCACCTCGAAAAAGAAGGTCTCCTTAATTTTTTTTTTTAATTGATATTCTAATTAAACTTTTTACTAAACTTGGCATACTTGATTAATTTTAAGGGAAAAAAAAGGAAAAAGTTGTTTTTATTATTATTATTATTATTATTATTATTGGTAGTAATCAATGCTTTAATTGCTCATGTGCTGCAGCTAATTGCCATTTTTCTAATTCAATCAAGGATTGGGGTCACTTAAACTTTATGTCTCTGGATGAAGTCCACAATCTTGCAAAGGGATTTCTAGTTAATGATACTTTGTGTGTTGAGGTACAGATTCGTGTAATAACAGAGGTCAAGGAATTCTCCTGAGGCTGTACGCCTGTATTATTATATTATATGTACGCCAAGACTTAAGTTGATATCCAGAAAGTATTGTAAGATAATAAGCAGAAATAAGCTCTGCTCTGGTCTGTGAATGGAATTAAATGTCTATTTTCTTTAAGCTCTTCTGATTTTTAATGTTGTTCTCTAGTCCCTACATATATATATATATATATATCTGTGACCACAATGATCAAGACTCTTTCCAGTTTCCAATAGACATTTGAATTAATTAGCTAATATGAGTGGTAATGTTGTCCTATTTTAATAGAGAGGAGAGGAGAGGAGAGGTGAGGAGTCCAATCGATCTGAACAGTAATAGAAAGATACAATCCTTCTACATTAATGAAAAAAAAAAAAATTACAAATTTCTAAGATAGGTTACTCATAAACAACCTGGAACCTGTATCGTTTTGATATTCTTGAAATTTGGTTGAGCACAAAAGAAAACTCTACTAAGTTAAGCTTCATTATATATGTCTGGCAGAATTGTGTTTATTATTTATAGTCATAACGTGGGTAAGTGACCTACCTAGTTTCTGACTGCCATCTTCCCATCATCTGTTTCTGGTTATTTTTATCTTCGAAGTTTAGACGTGTTAATTAACAGAAAAATATAGCTAGGAAAGATAATCAATATTTAGCTTTGTGAGAAGTGTTGCAGTGCAATATTGAGTTGTCTACTCTCCAACTTCTATGTCTTGATACCTGGAAAAATAGGCCGTATTATTAGCTAATTAGGAAGCACGTGTGACAGGTATTTTTATTTTGAGAACAAAGTAAATTTTAGCAAGAATTCTTGTTTTTCTCTCCACTTTAATCTTTAAAACCCTTTAGCCTGCTGAATGCCGATCAACATGTCCCTTTGAATCTCTTCAAGACAACTTCTGATGGGTAGTTTTGCTCACTGTATAATCCTGAGATGCGACTTATTAATCCCTGGTCTTTTGAGTGTTCATTAAAAAAAAAAAAAAAAATCGAGCTTCTTATTTTTTTGGGACCCTTCCACGCCCTAGACCTAGGATTTGCAAGGTTTTGTTACATTACAGAAAAATTCCTCTCTTTTTCATACTGCCTCGGGTGAGGAATGTCATGTTATGTATTCCAAGAGCTCTCGCAAAAAGTTTTTAATAATTAAAAAAAAAAGCATGATAATTAAACATTAGGAATGGCAATCTGACTGTTCCGACGGGCCTCCCTTTCCATTTGGGACGAAAATCGTATGCGAAATACGCTCCGAACGGGATACGAGACGAGAATTAAACATTGACATTCTTAAGTTGATTGTCAGTCATGATTCCGATTCTTCAAAAGCTGGAACTTCTAGTACAGGGGAGCATTCCGCCTGATACATAAGATGCATAGCCCAACGCTGGCCTGCCAATCTGCACATTGACCAAACAATACATGCATTAAAAAAAAACAAAACAAAACAAAACACATTAATAGCTAATTATTAATAGGATTACTTGCAGTTTAGGTTAGACACGTCACTCTAAAACATGCACTGTTGAGTATGTCATAACCCATCTGTCCTGAGTCCTTGACTTAAAAACAAAATATTGCCGGCTTCTCAAAATCCCTGAATTATTGACTCAAATTATTCAGTTCGTCGGTAGATCCTCATATTCTTTCGAATTATTCTGGCTTATGGGTTTGGTAGCTGCTAAGTATTGCATCATCAAAATTGAAAAAGACATGAAAAGTGAAGAAGTTTGACATCAAGGCTTCTGGAAAGGAGAAGAGACACTAAAAGTATTAGTTTAATTACAATTTTTATTGGCATGAAAAGTGCTTAATTATCATAAAGCAGCTCTTGGCAGTAGTTCCAACACATTCTCATTTGCTTTCGATACATTCTAATTAACGGCTAAGATCTTGATTTCGACCGATTTAATCTTAATTTAGTAATAATATTATATAGGAAAATGCGCCAGTCAAAGATGCCATGATGACGCATTGACCATTACATTTCTAAGTAATGAATTTTCTTAGGTTAATGAATTAGAAGAAGACTAATGCTCGCTCGCGAGTGTCGCCTTGTTTACGTCCTCCTAATTAAGCAAGTGAGTTAAATAAAAATAAAGCCTAAATATTTTAGTCATATAATAATCAAAACCTACGGTCCAAATCATCCAACTGCTCCAAATTTAGTTCATCACGTCTGTATTGCATTAATCTAATTAAGCAGTTTCTTGCTCATGAATAGCTTCTTCAACAATGTCGTACGTAGGTGTTAGTTAATTTGAATTGATAAAATCAAGTCCTTTGGTGGAGAGAGATTAGGAAAAAGGAAGGGAATATCTTTATTTTATTATTATTTTTTTTATAAAGTTGATTAAGTTCAAGTGGACTTCTCGATGAACTAAAACAATGGAAAACATATAGAGTAAATGGAATTGGTAATAATGAATAGGCGGATGATGAGAATCAAAATCATACCGTAATTAATGAATGAATTAATTTGATGTTACAACTGGATGTAGCTAGCTAGGAGACAATTAAGAATGCTTAATTCATGAAAGTAATAAACATATACACTTGAATATAAGCGAAATTACCATGTCATGTACTGTCTAATTAATTTCTTTCATGTACCAAGAAAAAAAATTAGAATAATTTTGGTCATTTTCTTGCGATCCATGTCTAGAAGCTAGTGATATGACCTAAAGAAATACATCAGGCATTCCTTAGCATGAAAGCGCCTTCTCAACTGCCACTATATTTTAAAAGAATCACACGACAAAAAAACAAAGGGCAAGTGCACAAGGTCCATTTCATTGCTTCCGTCAGCCCATTTCTTTGTTTGAGTTAAACGTCTACTTCAATGTCCAAATCATTAAAAAAAAAAAAAAAAAAAAAGAGCTACTACTTTTGCTAATTAATTCATTTCAAACTCCCCCTTTAATTGTTGTGTGCTTTTACAAGAAGTGATGCTAGCTAATTAAATTCTATACATACTGTATGCTTGACAATTGGAAGACTGATAATTTAGCAAATGATTTCTGGATAACTTATCTGATTAAGTTACTTAACAATCATATTTTGAGACCCTTTTCGATCAAATTCCCACCACAATATTCAAACTGAAATAATTTTGTGAGGTTAATTAAGAGGGCAGTCTTGATGTATTTAATATATATTACCATTGGATTCCTGCCCTTCTCTCAACTGTTGGTACTTACTGTTGAAAAAATCTGGCCTTGCATGATGAAGACACAGACAAATGCATATAAATTGGAATCTTGAATCAAATCATTATTGAAGATTCCATCGCCTTACATATGTTCACTAATCATCTGCTCGTGGAACAATTCAAATGTTTTTGTTTTTTTAATGCACATATACGTAAACTAATGTTCAAGTCTAACTCGAGAGGTAAAAGGGTTCAACCCACGTTATCATTTCAACTTCAAATTTAAGGAAGGGTAAAAAAATATCCTAATTCTATAAAAACCAAAATAAATAAATAAATGTTAACTTCTTTGAAATATGGAATGAGCCAAGTCTCGAATTTGTGTTTGTAAGAATTTGTGCCATACTTTTTGATACATTTGTTAAGACTCGGACTCACATTCAATACCTTGTTCGGGAACATTATTGGAAGTTCCATGACTGCTTTCCAGACATCAACATGGCTTGGATAATTCCTCTTAGGACAATTAGGGCTGCCCTTAGACTCTTGATCGACACCTGAGGGTGTTTATACCTAATCCTACTTAGTAGAGAGATATAAAATATATGTTAGAAAACGAATCAAGTAAGAAATATAGAATAGAAAGATAAAAATAATCACAAAATATAAAAATTTATTAGAATTTTTTTATTAAACTTTCATCAAGTGATGGCTTTAAATAGGAGAGATGTTGTCTCTATTTATGGTGTGAACAATATTCTTATATATATATATATATATATATATAAAAGGCTTTACAGGCTCGTATAATCGATTTAATATTTTATAAACCTTTCGGAGGCTCCACTCCCGAGCCTCTACAAGGGATGCTACCTCCTAATGAGAGAGTTTACATAGTGCTCTAAACTATGGATTGCATCCACATCAGTCTTCATAACTTAACAATACATTTAATAAATGAGAGCATCTCTCAAGAATAGTTTTATCCAAAATTGAGCATGCTTGTAGTAAGGGAATACTTTATCCCATTCCATGCAACTTGATGGGAATTTTGCTTATACAACCAAAAAGCCTAGGATTACAGTTTCTGAAAAATGGAATGAGCCAATTTCTGAATTTGTGTTTATAAAAATTAAAACGTCCCTTTGTAGTTGACATTTTTTTAATATGACCCTTTTATTTTTTTTCTTATTCATCACCTCCTAGTATTTTTCATTTTTACTTAATGTGACTCCTCTTATTGTTTTTTGATCAATTTTTTTTTTTTTAATCAAAATGGAGAGTTATGATTAAATAATTCACGGGACATGACAAGTCATATTTTTTTCCACGTGAAAAAAATAAAAAAATATTTTTATTTTTTTTCTCTCTCTCTTCCCCTCTATTTCGATTAACCAAATCTCGCAATCATGTTTATTTATATATAGACAGCATCCCCTTCCTTGTAGGGTTAGGGTTTTATTTAGCAACAGTTGCTTCTTCTCATTCACTTTCAAAACCCTTTTCACCATTAAACAACTTATACCAGTAACCATGGGGTATGCTTCCCCTTTTCGATTCTCATTTTTTTTTCTCTAGTACTCTGTTACTTTGTTGTTATTGAAGCTGTGACGTTATCTATTTGTTTTGAATTTTGTATTTTTTTAGTATAGTAATCAAAACGGTCTTTTCTGCAAGATGCCTGCCCCCAAGGGGAAGGTATTTTTTTTTTTTTTTTTTTTGCCTGAATGGGAATAGAATAAGGAGATTTAGTAATCAGGGATATTAGATTACTTGCCAAATCAAATTTAAGGACCAGAAGCGCTAGAAATAGCATTATCTATATTATGTGTTCATGGTTTGTTAGTGATTTTGGACAGTACGTTGAGTTTTCTCCATTTAAATTTGGGATTTTGTTTTTTCCAAATTACTTGAGTACTGTCTACGTAATAAGACATGTTGTATGGGAGCTCGTCGTAAGCTCAAGTCCCATCGTAGAAGGTAGAAAGGTGGGATGACAAGGCTTACAAGAAGTCCAATCTTGGTAATGAACGGAAAAAACCATCTGCTGGTTCATCTCATGCCAAAGGCATTGTTCTTGAGAAGATGTAATGCTACCTTATGGTTTACTAAATTTGCTTTGTTAAATTTAAAGCTTGAAATGCTTATTTGTATTATTGCCTGTGTTATATTTATAGAAGCATTGAGGCCAAGCAGCTTAACTCTGTTATTAGAAAGTATGCTAGAGTTCAACTAATAAAAAATGGAAAGAAGATCGCTGTTTTTGTTCCAAATGATGGTTGCCTAAACTTTATTCAAGAAGATGTGAGTACTCTGTGTGGAAGTATTTCGCTGGAGTCCTTCTAACTGATTTGAATTATCCACTTTTTGTGTGTTTGCTGATAACCTAGTGGATGAGGTGTTGATTGCTGGATTTGGACGTAAAGGTCATACCATCGGAGATATTCCTAGTGTTAGATTCAAGGTTGTAAAGGTATCTGGTGTCTCCCTTTTGGCACTTTTCAAAGAGAAGAGGTCTTAAATTGTCAAGGAGAGTTTGTCATTTTATGTCGTTTATTGTTAGTCTTTTTAAATAATTGGGAATTGTTCTCTTTGTTATTGAGTGGATGTTGTGAAAAATTTTTAATCTCCTTTCAGTTACTCTATTGAATTTCTGGTTTCAATTTTTAGTCGAGAGTATCTATTATGTCTCTGAAAATGACTTTCAGCAGATGCAATTAATTCATATTTATTATAACCTTGGCAAATCTTTATCGATTAGTTGCCAACTTTGTGTTCGATTGGATTGGACCTTTAGTTTATTTGAACTAAAAATTATAACAAAGATTTTCTTTTTCTTTTGTTAAAAATATACTTGTTTAAATAAGAAAATCTCATTTTTTCCTTCTGGAACAAAACAATATGATGTGTCATACCATATAGATTATCTTATCCCATTTATCATCACCAATCAAAAGAATCATCAAATTTTAGTAAGAAGAATCATATTAAAAGAAAAAATACAACGAAATGATGAATAAGAAAAAATAAATAGATAAACCACATTAAGAAAAAATAAATAATAAAAGAATATTTTATACGATTAAACCTAAAAATTAATGACATACTTTTTAATATATTTTGAAAAATTGTGAAGACTCGGACTCACATTCAATACCTTGCTCGGGAATATTATTAGAAGTTCCATGACTACTTTCCACGCGTCAACATCGCTTGGATGATTCAACTTAGGACAATTAGGGCTGCCCTTAGACTCTCGGTCAACAGTAGTGGGTTTACCCCTAATCCTAGCTAATACAGAGACATGAATTACATGTTAAAAAACGAATCAAACGAAAAATATAGGATAAAAAAATAAAAATAATCATAAAATATAAAGATTTATTAAATTTTTTTATTAAAATTTTATTAAGTAACAACTATAAATATATGAAATGTTATCTTTATTTATAACATGAATAATTAAAATTATAATAATAAAAAAAATTTATAAACATTATACACTTGATCTAATATTTTATAAACTTTTTAGGAGTTCCACTCCTGAGTCTTTAGAAGGAATGCTGCTCCCTAATAAAAATGCCTACGTAGTACTCTAAACTCGTAAATTATATTCACATCGGTTTTCATAACGTAACAACGATATTCATTAAGTGAGAGCTTATTTTTGAATTAGTTTTATCCAGATTTATTCAAAATTGAGCATGATTGTAGTAAGGGAATAAACCACTTTATCCCATTCCATGCAACTTTATGAGATTTTTGGCTATACAACAAAAAAAAACTAGGATTACAGTTTCTGAATGTCTAAACTTACAAAAAAATTTTATCATTTTCTAAGCACCTGTCTTACTACATAAAAATATATTCAAGCTATTATGTCTTCCCAAGAAAAAACCATCTCATCACATAATATCAATCAAGATTCACAGCATCATCACTTTTCAATAAATTTTTTTCTTCTATCCTACCATTGTTAGGTTTGAATTTCAATTTCTTATTATTATATTGTTTATAAAATTATATCATTTTTATTTTATTTTGCTGTTGTTATTATTCTAGATGCCAACTTGGCCACTTGGGGACAGCTATAATAATCAAACTAAATAATGATCGAGTGTTCCTATAGCTAGGTTGGTGGGCAGTGAAACATTGTCTCTATCGTGCAATATCAGAGAGCAAAATTTAGATTGTCTTGGTGCAATTTCTTGCCAGAAGGTGTTACCTGTATTTGTCAAAATTATTGTAGGTTTTTTTTTTTTTTTAATGGACCTGGGTTGTACCTGTACATCTTCTCTTGACTATATTTTCAACTCCTACTTGGTAGCCTGGTAGGTTGTAGGGATCCAAAGTCCAGTTTCTTATTTCAGTTCCTGGCCTATAAAGTTTCTGATCATTCTTTCATTGAAAGGATTCATTTGTTCTTTTTTCATAAATATTAGCTGTCCTCATTGAGAAGGAAGGAGGTTTGGGACATCTACTTGGTTCTGGAAATAGGTAATATGATCAAGGATAGAAACAAGGGAAGCTTGACAGACAATTCAATTGTAAAGCCAGAAAGTGGTCAACAGCACAACTTCAGTTTTTATCAGAGAGGTGAAGGGGAGAAAAGTGTGATGGAGGCAGAAGGAACAGGGTTTTCAGACATGTATAGGAATTCAAGTGAAGAGTTGTTTCTGAAATCTTTGATGGAGACCTCAATTGGGATGCCAATTCCCACCATGGAGATGTTGGGGTTCAAGAATCTCTCTCAGAACTTCCGTACTGATAGCGAGGAGCTATTCAAAAGCTGGCTTACAAATGGAGAGGCAAGCAAGAAAATTTCATCTTGATTTCAGCTTCAAAGTCTCAAGCTCATCATTTGCTTCTGCCTTAGCTGGATTGACTGATCATCTATCCATGCCATTAGTATTTTTGTCTTGTTTTCAATTAAAACTCAATCACAATTAGTTGGCTGCCTTTTAGCACTGGATCTTCTTTGACAGAAAACTAAGATTATACAGACAAACCATCATAATTTGCATATTAAAATGAACTTGGTTATGGTCTAAATCCTTTGTCATTTAATTGGTCAGCTTTGGTTGTCGCCAGGCTTTCGATTCATTGATTGTTGTCCAGTGATTGATAATCTGAAGAAGTGGCTCTACAAGTTGTTAAACCAACTCATCTGTTAAAGTTGTACATGACTGTTTAGTATTAAAGCAACTGCCTTGCAGCGTTATTCAGAACACTTGAGAATTTTTCATGACGTTATGAGCTATATTCCATTGTAAACTGCCCTTCATGCACGGTTTGCAGTTTAAATATCACTTTCCTTTATATTTCTTTTCCTCCCGTGATGGATTTTTTCTAACCGAGGGACTTCTCTTTTTTTTGGCAGAATGGCTATAACTCAACAAGCATAGCACATCGAACACGACAAGCATCAAGAAGGTGAGTAGATTGAAGTAGTAAATTTTGATAGAGAATCAATGAAACTGTGCCATTCTCCAAATTTAATTAGATCGCCCTCATTTTTAAGTTTTTTTTGAAGGATTTTTCTGCAAGAGATTTTATTTATTTTATTTTTTTTCCCGTTGTTTTACTCGTAATCTCGAATACAGCAAAGTAAATCTTAATGTTGGAAAGTGCGTAACTCAGTATGTAGAGCTAAATGCAGCTACACTTCTGTGCCGCTATACAGTTTGTTTGACTTAAAGGAAGCCATATTACCAATCCATCCACTTCACAGATTTGGGAATCAGCCACTAGATTCCAGCTGATTGAAATGCATGTCTGGCCCATAATTCCCTTGCACAAGAACAACATAGTAGAAAATCATTTACCCTTCTCAGTTCTCCGTATCTAAATTATTGGTGCACTCCATAGGTAACATTTGCTGTATTTGGAGAACTTTCGTTCGAAATGCAAGTTCTTCTTGGCTCCTCTGTAGTTGAATGTCTGAAATTAAACCCTGACGTCGTTTGGCTTGTTAGGAAAACTTAATTTGCAGAGGGACTTAGCTATACCTTCTTTGAACATTAAGAAATATGAATAACAGAAATATGAGGTCCCTTTCCTGCAGAACTCTGAAATCTTAAAACTTCTATTTTGAAAACCTCTCTGGTCATCACATGGCTAGCTTGAGATTGTTATGGAATCATCAAGGGGAATCATAATGTACGGCAATCAAATATGTAATCGTCAAAGATAGATTATTTGCTACTCTGCTATGATTTTTTTTTTTTTTTTTCCCATTCTGCCTTTAATGGGCTGCTTTGGAATGTCTTATCATCCAAACATTTGAAACTTGTATAATCAGGAATACAGATAAATAAATCATGTAACGCTTCATGTGCCATTGAGATAATCTAACCTTGTGGGGTTTCTGGCAACTATGTATATCTCTTTTGGTTCAATTCTTTTCACTTGTAACCAAGCATGGCTTAATAAATCCTTCCCAACTGATCGGCATTTGACAGAGGACACCTATTTTGCCACCATTCTCTGGGGACTTGTACTTACCCTCAACCTACAGCTAGTTTGCTCTTTCTGTCATCCTTCCAGCTCCCCAAACACACGTTAGTAGTATTTATAACACAAATATTACTCTAATGATAATTGCAGGATATCCACCGAACTAGTCAATTTGACGGGTCAGCAACATGGCAGCATACCACAAAAGAAAAGGAGCAATGATGTTTTATTCGCTCAAAATAATCCAATAGCTGATGATATTTCAAATGACCTCAATCAACAATCTGTCAGGTAGCTGCTGCACTCTTCTTCCATTTGCTCTTATTTGTACCATGTTAAATGATTTCCAGATTCAATAATCTATATGCATGCCGTATGATCCAAAAAGTGCTAGTACTGTGCTGCCAGGAGAGTAGCGATTCTGATTTATGATTTTTTTTGTTACTACTCTTAGCAGGAATGCTGCCGAAAGGACCGCCCAGGCTAGTAATTTATATCTGGCAAAGGTCTGCTATATTTTGTTATCTGCAGAAACTTTTGTTCAGTTAAGCCTCTGGATATCTGACAGTGCCTCATCTTTTATGCAGGCGTGGTTTCAAAGTTCTCAACCCATGACAAGAAGTCGATCCTCTGAACTACGGTATTAGCATTATCATGCACATTCATAGCAATCACATCCTTCAAAAGTTTTATTTAGTGACGCTTTAGTGTTCTACTGGCTGCAAATTCTTCATGTGGTAGAGTATCTTACATCTGGCAGAAGTCGGTGGAATGCATTCGTTAAGTCATAGAAATGCATTTACTCCAACAATACGAAGAACAATTTTTTTCTTTGCTTCATTATCCAACTTCTTTTGCAGGAGAAGGTATGCTGCTATGCAATGTTCCCAGACAAATATAGGTATGGAAGCTATGCAGAATGTTTCTGGGCATGGTGTCAACAGTTTGAAACAAGAGTTTGGACATCCAAATGGTTTCAGAGACCCTCCTATTCACGACGCTGCCAATCAGTTGGGCACGTTCATGTCTCCATCCAATTCATCCTCATCTACTTTTAACACCCCACTAATGAGCAGCATAGATAAAGTTTCTTCTGTTGTTAGCATGCTAAAGGGCACACTGGAACGCAAGAAGCTAGGCAGCCAGATCGAGAAGGAAACAGTTGAAGATAGTTCTAATGTACTTTACCATGCTCAGGAAGTTACAATCAACTCTACTTTTGATCAAGGAAAAGGGAATGGCATTCACGAGATTCCAGGAAGTTTTCAAGAAATATCATGTGGTCAAGTTAAGGTTCCCGGGGTTCTGCAGACGGTTCAGGGACCCATGGATCTTGACTTTGAAGGTTTTGTAAATACCATCAACCCAATCCAGCTGAGCACAGTCTCTCGCGAACCTTCTCAAAGTGAATCTTCTGCTGCTGCACCAGTAGTTTCATCTTGTTTTGATGCATGTGATGGTCCCAGCAACTCAAGTCAAACTTTAAGCGTTTGTGAGAGCTCAAGGAAACAAGTTGGAAATGGTAGGAGTTCAGAAAATGGCTCTAGAGCCAAAGTTGTGAAGTTTAAAGGATGGCCTCTTTTTTATCTTGAAACTTGATTGATTTAGTTTCTAAGTATTTCAAATGCAGATTTTAGAGAACGGATAATTGACAATTTGAAGGATGATCGAAAGGTATCTGACATTCTTCAATGTAGAATAAAGCATTCTAATTAAACATTGATTTCTTTTACCTACTTCCTTTTTCTATTGCAGAGGGGAGGTCTCGTCCGATATGGATCCGTGACATCAGCAGGTTCAGGTGATCAGTTTCTCCTTAGAACTTCACCAGCATGACAGTTGGCTTTCCTATGCTTAGCTTCACTGAAAGGCGGAGGAGTCAACTGGAATGCTTAGCTTCACTGATTTGTTCAAATGAAAACGGAAACATAGTTCTTGAATAGGAAAACTTCATTCATTCATGCCATCATAAATGTGCGACTGTCAGTTTTTCTTGCAAAACACAATTTTTCTGCTTTTATTCTTTGTTATTACTCGTACGTTAACATTGTGCTTGAAAACTCATTCTTTTCATCTGGTATGCTTATTGTGATTTAAACAAAGCATAAAGCCTCTGCAGATGCTTTCCAGCATTACGTAGTACGTACTATATTGTTATGCAATCACATAATTCTATCTGACCAACCAAATTTATGCAGTGGACAAGGGGGACCCAACTAAAAAGCGGAGAGTGGAACGTTCACGAAAGTAAGTTGGAACTTAAATCTCTCAGCTTTATTAGCTCTGCTATTCAAACTTTCAGAATCATTGACAGATTGATCTGTCAGTTAATGGTTAACAGTTGTAGTGTCAGATACTTACGATATCACGATTAACATTATTTCTTGTTTAATAAAAATACAGAAGCAGTACAATTGAACAACTGAGAAAATCAATATCGGATGCCTAATCATACTTCCATTGAAATATATAGCATAAGGATATGTGGCAGATCCAAAGTACTCCAAATTGCACAATTAGACCTAATGAGCAATACGTCTACGAGGATTAAGAGGATTGTTAATTGTTACTGCCTGGTTGATTTACATTGAATTCTTTGGTGACGTAGAATGGCAGAGGCAAAGGAAAGGAATATGACACCAGCAATTCCATCCGATATGCAGTCAGTCCTCAAGCGATGTGAAAATCTTGAGAAGGAAGTACGATCACTCAAGCTGAACTTGTCCTTCATGAACAGGTAATGACAACAGTTAGAACTAAATTACTTCCAAATGGGCTGTCAAGAAATGCATAGATGTTACTTCACTTCTTCTATCCTGTTTATTTTGCTGGATGCTGTTTGCCGTCCAAGTTGTAGGTTTTCTCGTCGTTATGATCTAGAACTTGTTTGTCTAGTAATCGATTGTTGTAAAATACCATTACAGGAAGGATTCTGAACAGACTAAGCAGATAGAAGAGCTTCAGAAACAGAATCAAGAGTTGGGTGATGAAAAAGAACGCCTCTTAGAGGAAATTGAGAGGATTCTAGCAGAAACAGAAAAGATGTAGAAGTTACTTTCCCTCGACTCTTGCATACCACACACTAGTGCAACGTGTAAGCAGCGAATCATCTGCAAAAGCAGCAGTAGTTCTGAAAGACCGTATTTGGTAATCTAAGAAAATCCTAGCCAAGAAGTTATACCTAGCCTTAATATTCCTGTGCAGGCGTTGTGACTTGTTCGTGCAAGAATGGAACAAGTGCATAGTATAATTGATAATTGCAGCTATATCTGATAAACTGTGAACGCAACATCATACTTTTTTTTCTTTTTTCATTTTCTTTTCTTTTCTTTTTCCCCCCTTTGTAACGGATGAACCAGAAAGGTGTAAATTTCAAGCTTCAGGGCTTTTATCCTAATATATGGTCCTGGTCTTAAATAGTCAACAAGCTCCTGATGATCACTGATGTGTGTAGAAAATTTTGAACCACTTCCGTTCCTCTTCGTAAAAGATTGTTAATGTTTCCCTTAAAATTATATCCATAGTTTGAAATAACAATTGTTATGTAACGATTGAACATACTCGTCGTCATCGTTATTTGTGGATTGAACATATTCATTATCGTTATAGGGATTTTATAATTGTTTTACACAAATATTAATAACAGCAGCTTTATATAACAATAATGTCCGCTATTGGCTATTGCCACTATTTAACAAATATCGGCCATTATATAAGGAAAAAAAGTGATTCTTTATGTTCTATATTGTTTGTGTAATATTAAACTGGTAGGTATTATTAATTTTATTTTGCAATGAATTCAATTATGTTTTTATAAAAAAGTTAATTAGTTCAATAATATTATTAATTGGTTTAATTCTTTTTATACTTTGCGTTGACTATAAACTAGTACTTCTAATTAAAAATTTTTCAATTCAAATACTATAACTATTTTTTTTATTTATAATTAAATCCGCCAATATTCTTAACTAAACTTGCAGTTGACACAATCCAATAAATAAAAAATATGTGGACTTTATTTTCAGCCAACATGATCCTATGACATTACAAAATACCCCATTCTTAAATTAAAATTTTTAATCAAACATCTCTTTCTCACTGCTAGCTCTCTTTTTCTTGAAAATTGAAGAAGCAAATGCCTTAAAACCCTTCAAGCAAAACCCCAGCCTTTGGGACTCTCATCAGTTTTCTCCTTTCTGGGTTATCTCAAAATGCCAGCTACACGCACTTCCCATTTCGACAGAGACCACCGTTTCAGTGCCAGCAGCAGTGACATCTCTTTCTCTGGCGAGATTGGGGCGCATAGGAACTCTTCAGTGTCAGATTGCTTGTCAGAGGTGGATTTGGAGCGTGGAGGTTTGGATGTGAAGGTGCATTTGGACAACAAGACTTGGAGAGACTGTAGAATTTGCCACCTGGATTTGGGGAGTAGCTATTGAGCTGGCGTGTTATTGTAAGGGTGATTTGGGTGCTGCTCACAGGAAATGTGCAGACCTGGTTCAAGATCAAGGGTAACACGAGTAAATACTTCAGCTTTTTCATTTTTATTTTTATTTTTTTATTTTTATTTTTTTTGGATAAAAAACTGATCTTTAGTTGTTGCATTAATCTATTTGTCAGAAAATTAGGATATCCATCTGATGGTTTCGAAGAAATCTCTCTGCATTATTGTTATCCATCTAATGATTGAGGAGATGAGATAATTGAGGATGTAGCAAAAAGAACGGAGGAAAAAAATTAAGTTTGATAATTTAATTTAGATATGAATTTTTCAGTCATTTCACTATTAAGAATGTTTCACATGTTTTCGGAAGATGTTTTCGAAATTTGATCAATGAGATCGACAAACTTAATTACAAATCAAAAAATAATTATAGCACTGAAATTGAAAAAATTCTACTTCTAAATTTCAATCTTCAATGATACATAAAACTATCAAATCAATTAATCAAAATTAAACTATTAAAAATATTATTATTCTAATTTAATAATTTTATTAAAAATATGTATATTAAAATAAATTTATTAACTAACATCGATTGCAACAATCATTATTTTACTATAATAATAAACAAGTATCTCCAATTGCAACCGTTTTTACAATTGCTTTTGCTATTTAAAACTATGGTGGTCAACACATTGAGGAAGCAATCATTGTGTACAGAATAACTTGTTACTCTTTCCTAGGAGTAACGCAAGTAACAGTAGACCGAAGCTGCCTTGCTCATATCCCTTGCAGGGAGCAGAACATACAGTTATTCTCTCTTTTATCATACATGACCTTCAATAAAAGAATTGACAACATCATACATCATCGAGACGTTTTGCATATAATATGATGCCTATACATGAAAGACTCTTTCTCTGCTACGTACATAGTTTGTTCAGCATTTCTTCTATCAAAATACATTTCGCAACCAAGGAATCATACGTCTTTGTGCAAGGAATGTGTCAAATTGCACCATCCAGATTCCGGGAACAGCAAAAAGGAATTGGCACTTACAAAAAGAGTGCGGCTAGTAATTATAAACTCTGTAAATCTCAGGGAGACCAAGCCTTTTCCCATACTGGATCGTCAACCAACCCATAAAAGAAAAGTATGCCACAAGGAAACAAGCACGCTTGAAGAAGACTAAATTGGTGCGAGAAAACATCTTAGCTACAGAGGTTAAATGAAACCATGATTTTATGTGCTGTAGGATTCTTATAAAGCTGATGGTGATTATAGAAGTCGAGAAACCAGCAATAACTCCAGCTATTGTTTCCCACCTCCAATAGCTAGCTTTTCCTTTCTTCTGGACTAACGACGAGTGTAACATCTCTTTAGATCTGAACATACAGAAGCCAATAATTTTACGTTACATACTGACAATGCCACACACAATGATTGCAAAAAGATGCTTAGCATTTACATCATCTGCAGCCAACCACTTTCAAAAACATAAGGACAGTATAGGTTTAATTACACAAGGACTATACTTTCCACCAGAATATGCGGAGAAATGAAAGATTATATTCGACTTATTCAGTGATAGATGAGTCACTCTCATGGGTGAAGACCATGGCACTTAAAAGGCATATCCACGTTAATAAATGGCCATCAACATTAGCAAAAACACATAACTATCATCAATTCATATCTATCAAGAGAGTCAAATCAAACTGTTCTAGACCCTCGACATAATCCCTTGGCCATCCATCATCTAGTTTGGATATCTTAAATTCACCTATATTTGAAGACATCAAATGCCATAGAAATACACAGAATATATATATATAAAGTAAATATGATTGGGTGTTATTTTTTATTTTTTTAAAAAAAAAAAAGTACTCACAGGATGAAATAGCGTTTAATCATCTCAACTTGAGATGGATCTTTTGCTTGACAACTGAAAAGATCATCACGATATAAGCTCACTTTCGAAATGCCAGATGTATACCAGCAGTCATAGGTTTTATTAACCTGAAAAGGAATTCATAGAAAAAAATAAGATAATGATAATGAACTTGCGGAGATTTGACTTAAAATGTATTAACAATGAGTGAGACTGGAAGCTTTGCAATCCCTACCTTGAATTTATCTTTGGTCAACCATGCATTGCCAAAATTAGGCCTGCAATTTACAGGTAGGGCCTCATTTGGAGCCTCTGCTAATGCAAATCGTGTCTGACCCAAAGAATAATCTCTGTATTCCACCTGCAAAATGGAAAGTAAACATATTAAAAGACACGTTCTTGACACCAATGCCTCAAATCATTGCACTTTTAAAGCTAGCCAGACACCTGCATAAGTGTGTGCAAAACTTGATAACATGTTGTAATGAGAATTTGAAATGTGCATGCATGAAATTTGCAGAGGAGGTACTTTGAAATTCTAATTCAACCCAATCTAAAAGCACAGGATTGGATTCGTTTGAAACTACAGCATCTGTCAGGATTTCAGAGGTGGGGAAAATGAAGAGCTCCAAACATCAAACATTGTTAGAGGACCTGCTCATATATAACTTCTAATGTATTCCCATTTTTTTATAGTCACATGCTAAATGTCGAAAGCGTTCTATTGGCTATGAGCACTGCAAAACTGATATTACGACATTGTCAACTGTATAGCTACATTAAAGCAAATACAGAAACAGAACGTATAGATATATAATACAAAAATCAAAATCAAGTTTTCTAGAATTTCTTGATCAAAGACAATTATGAAAGATTTGAAAGCAGACAATAGAAATGAATTAAAAGAATATTTGTCACCCTCTCGCGTATCTAATCTGTTTCGGTATATCAGCTGCATGAGTTTTCAGAGATTTAGCAGGATTATAGATATGTGTTTTGTAGAGAGCGAGAGAGAGAGAGAGAGAGAAGAATTGATCATGAGCCATCTGCAAGTCTTCAATCATATCACCAACTAACAAGCTAAGTAAAACAGGGAAGGAAACTCCAGTGCCAATTCATCCAGAAAATGCAGTGATAGCCCATAGAAGACAGCTTTTCACAATGACATGCTGAACCATTGTGAAAGCATGATCTGAAATTACGGTCATATAGAACAAAGATGACAAAAAAAATAACAGAGGCCACTATCTATTTATAGGATGTTCCCTTGAAGAATGTGAGGTATGAATGACAAAAATCCAAGGTACAATGGGAGATAAGGAACCAGTGTTGCATCATATTAGGATTATTAAGGTGGCATGTAACCAACAAGCCTTCCATTGCCCAATGATATATTCCTCCAGTAATGAGTCAAAATGCAATTTTCTTCTAATACAGCTTCCACAGACCCAATAAATGTGGTGTTTATCCTTTAAACAAAAAGATAAAAACTCTAATAGTACTTAACAAAGTCAAGAGTTTCACGATGAAACAAATTGAAAAGACCAACTGTTACAAAAGAAGATATATATCATAATGAGAGATCCCTCATTTCATCCTTTGTGGGAAGTGATGTATCCAAATTTTACACCTCCTGTTCTCCCTTTGCCTTAACAGGTTAGAAGATTACAATACTCTGGATTAGAAAAGGGTCTGGACTCTATCAATTAAATGCCAATGTTAACCAATATAGAAAATCAATGCTATTCATCAGAATAAAAACTCTCTGATGATTGAAAGTTGAAGATACTCCTAGAAGCAAGGATATCATTCAAACAGAGCTTCTGCGTTATGAACAAGAGCAGAAATGATTGTGACAGTCCATACAAACACCAGCCCTTCTAAATCTATTAACCCAATAATACTTTTCAAGCTGAAATGTTCCAAGTAAAGCCATTCCATGTCATGGTACAGAGCCATGCTCTCAGAAACTTCACATGTTTTGAGAATGTATTATTGGAATCACCACTTTTCTTAGCTAACATAATGTGTTTCCTATTTAACTAATTCAAAGTTCAACATCTACTTTTAGCATTTTAAGTATTCAAATGGTACATTCTCCCTTTGTTTTCCACTTTCACAACACATTACTCTAGCAATACTACTGACCTCAATTATCACAAGAAATTATTTGCAGTAAATACTCCTAATCTCTTGCATAATAGAATCATATATATTTGCTAAAGAACAAGATAAAATCACCTCAAACACTGACGCCCAGTAATAATCATAGCGACAGCGAAATTTGCTTCTGTTATATGGATAAAACACATGCTTGGCTTTATAATTCAACAAACCAAGCTCGCAAACCTTAGATGATCTAAGATCCACACCTGAGAAACAAAAACAACCCACTTTACACAATTCAAAAACAAACCAAAACAAAGAATTAAATTAACAAAAACTCATTATATCAAAAACCCATCAACAAAATCACACAAAATCCAGATATGAATTGAAAGTTTAAAATCGCATGGGTAACAGTAAAGAGAGAGAGACGTACTACTGGAGAGTATCTTGCACTGAGAGGGAAGAGAGAGAGGAGTTGTGATTGAAAAATGGCCCATGAAAATTGCTAAAAAGCCTAATAACATTGAAAAGAAAAGGAAGGCAGAGATTGGGAAAAGAAGAGCTAAAGTTAATCGAAAAGCTAGATATACGAAACCCTTTTTACCATTTTCAGGGGTTTCTATTTCTATTTCTTTTTCCATTTCATCATCACTGACATCCATAGCTACTGCTATACTATTATCAATACACAGATAATTGGAACTTGGCTTCAAGAGCCGGTCACCGGATTCATTAATCCGGTGATCGGAGTTTCGGTTGTGAAAGGAAACGCGCCAGGATTTTCTTAATAGTTCTTCTATTTGGGTGGAGGCGGAAGAAAGTTTTTTATTTTTATTTTTTCCTCCTTTTGGGTTGGGGTCGCTAACGAGAGTCAAAACATTATCACTCTAGTCGATCATGGTTCATGGGTAGAAGATTTTCGTCAGGATTTTTTTTTTTTTTTTTTTGGCAGTTGCTCATTTCTACGAGTAATTATAAACTACTGTTTTTAGTCTTGAAAAACGAATTAATTAATTTCTTATCTTTTTATTAATTAATTAATTTAATTTCTATGTTTTTAAATATTTTTGAATTTAATTATTTTTATTTATTTTGATTTTTTATTTAAAAAGTAAAAAAAATAAAAAATTTGATAAAAAGATATTTATTAAATTAAAATAATATTAAATGTAATATAATCAAAACTAGTTAAAAAAAAAACTAAATAATTTATTTTTAAAATATGAAAGATTAATAACTCATTTCTTAAAATTAGAGAAATTAATTTATAATTTACTCTCATTTCCACCAGGTACCTATATAATCCATAGTCAACAATAAGTAAATATATTATTTTTTAATTTTCAATTGAATATTTAATTTTTTCTATTAAGTAAGTAAATTATAAATTAACTCTTTTAATTTTGCAAAACAAATTAAATAGCTTTTAAAATTTCAAAAATTAATTTATTAGTCTCTTGACAAATGTGGATCATTGTTAATTTAATATTACTTTATTCTATAAAATATTTTATTTTCTTATCAATCTTTTCATACTATTTATTTTTTTCTATTTTATAAAAAAATAAAATAAATCAGAAAAAATATAAAAGGATTAAATTATAAATAAATTTAAAAACATAAAGACTTATTAATTAGTTTTTAAACTAAAAAGACTATTTAATTCATTTTCCAAAACTAAAAGAATTAATTTATACTTTACTCATCAAGTAATTTAACTTTCAACTTGCAATCCAATGTCAAAAAACATTAAGATTTGATCAATTCGGAATAATATCATAGCACTTTCAAAAATCATAGATTTTTTCTTAAAACTATGTATTATAGTGTCACACTAACTATTCTTATTGATCCTATTATTAAAAGACTTGTTGTACCATAAAAGCACAAACTATACACTTTTTAACTTTTATGGTATGTTCTTCTAAAAATATATGAAAAATACATGAACTATATTTCGATAATAATTTTAGCACGGGAGCCATTTTTTGTCTAATGTTATGAGTTTAGTTGACGTGGCATAACACTTCGGATGACACCTTGAATAAAAATTGACATAGGATAACACGTGAATTAGAATTATAATTCATTTATGATGGACAACAAGTCGCCCGCTCACTTATTCAAAATCAATTCGTAAAACTAACTAACCTAATTAAATTCAATTCTTAAAAAACCAAATCCCTAATTCCTTCTCTTCTCTTTCCGATCGACAAATAAGCCAACCCAAATTTATAATCTTCTTCTCTTCTTTATGCATAACGAACAAGAATCTCAATCTTCTTCCCTTCTTCAACTAGTCCCTTTTCTCCTTATAAAATCTCTAACAAAACCCACACTTACATTTGTATACATCTAAAAAAACTAACGAATCTTCAACAAGTATCCATTATCCCATGAATCTTTAACTATAAGGTTCCTTCTCTCTCTATCTCTACTTGTTGTCTTCTTATTTTTTACGAATTTTCTCATTTATGCTCGTTTTGATGATTCTAGATTTTGATGCTTCCTTTGCTTCGTAAATTCTTCAACTACGTTATAATATATCAACTACATTATAATGGATCAAAACCCATACTTGCATTATCCATACCCGAATTAGCATAATTATTTTTAATTATATTAAATATGTATTTATAGAGTTCATTATAATTTGTTTGTTCTTTTGGTGTTTCTATCCATATGATGACTTCATTCAAGTTGAATTATCTTGTTTGTAGGTTATTCAACTGTCCGAATCCAATTACTTATGTTGGCGAGGTTAGGGTTGGATCATGTAAGTGGTCGAACATCCCGATTACATAATATTAAAAGAACTCTATAATGTGGTTATTGAATGTGGATATAAAACACCTAAGGCTATAGTATTTAAACAACTCGAGTTAAGTCTAAGTGAGGGAAGGTTAATTACAAATGAGGGTGAGGCTTTTATGAAGATGTTAAGTGTTGCATATGAACATAGGTCCGCCGATGTGTTTGTTAAGATAGAAGAGAAAGTCGAAGGTGATGTTTGGGTGAAAATATAGCTACTACAATTAATGTGGCAGATGGTGGAGATATAGGTGATGATGATAATGAATAGAATATTGTCGATGATGATCATAAACGGAATATTGTTGATGATAATTAGGAATAGATGTCGATGATGATAACAATGAAAATAATGTAAGAGATGTAGGTGTTGATGATAATGAGGAGAATGGCAATAGTGATGATGATGATGACTACCTACCAATTGAGAAACTATATAGTGGTTTTAGCAATGGTGATTCGAAAGTTTTATGGATGAAGAACTAATCGAGGCTAGAAAGCAAAGGAGGAGCATGATGAGGAAGTATGGTTCTAGTCTTTAGTTTAATGATAAATGTGTGAGTCCTACCTCATTAGTTAGAAGAACTAATGAATGAGCGAGGCCCAAAATCCCTCAACCTATCGAAGGAGGCTACACAAACGAATAGAACAACAACAAGGACGAACAGATTACCCCTCCCGAAAGTGATGAAGACGGCGTATTTGCTTATAGGAAAAGAAAAAAAAAGGAAAAAGAGATTGTTTAAGATCTTACATGTAACCACAAGGACTTAGTGTTCAATGATAGAATGAAATTCATAAATGAAAAATAATGTAAATGAGTTGTGCAATTATATGATATTGAAAATATAAGAGATTTAACTTGGGTAGGGAGTTCAAAGAGAGTTATAAGGAGTTCAAATAGAGTTATAGAAACTAAATGTGTGCAAGGTTGTGGATATAAGGTTATGGATGGAAAGTGTATACAAGTAAAAAACGGTTGAAGCACACTTTTTGTCCATGTCGGCTACCGTGAGAAAGGTCGAAATAAGGAGTCACCACCTAGCTAATTGGGGAGAACTAGAAAACCCTAAACATACTGTTCTACATAGATATCTAGATAAGAGTTGGTTACGTATGAAGAAGATATGACATCACTACCATCCCGTCCTACCTAAGGTAGGCTACATTATTTGCCTATGAACATAAATATCTAATTTTTATTATGTTATACTTCTATATCTATTTTAATGAGTTTATTTTGTAAAATATGAAACTAGGTAGTTCGGATGTAAAATAGGGTAGTTTGGGTTTCCAAGCCGATCTAAGGCTAATGCCCATTTCCTAAAAAGAAAAAGTGAAGGAAGTTGGAATTTCGGCTAGTCGTTAGTGAACATGACCTATTATTGACAAATAAGTGATTTTCTAAAGATCGATAGCCTTTTATTGGTATGAGTAGCGAGTCACCAGCAACCTCCCTCACATAAGTGGGAAGCTATCAATGACTTCGAGTAATGAATTTAAAAAGTTATTGACAACTTTATCACGAAGTAGGAAGCCATCGATAACTTCATGTTGCCACTAGCGAGGAGCAAATGATCAATTTGAAAGCAATCAAAAACTTTGTCACATAAACAGGAAGCCACTAATAGCTTCGTTTCAAATAAGTAAACATTAAAATAAAAATAAAAATTCTTTTAAAACTACTAGCGACTTCATCATATAAGTGAAAAACCCACTCGGTAGCTTTGTTTTGATGAAAAATATAGAAAATAAAAAACCAAAATAGAAAACAAGAAACAGGAAATATAAAATAGAAAACAAGTACGAATAATAAATAAAATGATCCCAAAACCCACTAACAACTTCATCACGTAAGTTGGAAGTTACCGATAGCTTTTTTTTTATGAAACAAGAAATAAAAAATAGAAAATAGAAAAAAACAAAAAATAAGAAATAGGAAAACAAGAAACATAAAAATAAAACAGTACAAATAACAATAAAATGATTTCGAAACCTATCGATCGCTTCATCACACAAGTGAAAAAGATACCGACATGACTTCATTTTGATGAAACTAGAAACAAAAAATAAAAAATAAGAAATAGGGACGAGAAAACAAGAAATAAAAAATAGGAAAATAGTACAAAAAAAGATAAAATGATTCTAAAACCCATCGACGGCTTCGTCACACAAATAGAAAGCAACCAACAATTTCATTTTGATGAAACAAGAAAAAAAAAGAAACAGAGAAACAAGAAACAAGAAACGAGTACAAAAAACGGATAAAATAATTCTAAAGCCCACTAACAGTTTCATCACACAAGTGGAGAGCTATCGATAGCTTCATTTTAATGAAACAAGAAATAAAAAATAAAAAATGGAAAACAAAAATAGGAAAATAAGAAATAGAGAATAAAAAACAGGTATAAAAAGCAAATAAAATGATTCCGAAACCCATCGATAGCTTCGTCACACAAGTGAAAAGCTACCAATAGCTTCATTTTGATGAAATAAGAAACAAAACAAAAATAGAAAATGAGAAACAAAAATAGAAAACAGGAAACGAGGAATCAAGAAATAGGAAACAATAATCAAGAATCGAGAACAAGCAAATAGATAAAATGATTTTAAAACCACCAATGGCTTCATCACATATTATAACCAATCATAGATAGTCAATCAAATCACAAGAATTGACATAAACTTTGCATTTAAGTAGATAAAGATAAAAAGAAAAAACGAGGTTATTTGTCCGGAATGACTAATTACATGAATATTCGTTTCAACCATATTTAATCCATTAATTTTTAGACTAAATGCCATAATCTTATTCACATTTCAAATAGTCCGAGTCATTTTTAACCTTTAT